ACAAACATGAACTAAGTAGTTACAAGTCATTGGACAGGAAGGTAATCTTCACACATGCACACAGTCTTTGAAAACCGAACATTCCCACGCGTAGTCTTTAACTTTCCTCGATTTTCATCGATTATTAAACAATAGGTAAACACGTCAAAGTGGTCCCACAATCTACGTAATAAACTTTACACTGCATTATGGTCTTAACAGAAGGCCCTCTTTGAAAGTAACTTCTCGAAATCATGTATTTGTCTGCCTCCTTAGATGGCTTTCACTTCTGTCGCTTTGGTCTCGAGTCCCTAGAAGTGTGCGGGAGAGAGCACGGTCTGAACATCTTTGCTGAGCCAAAAAGCGTTGTGACGGATATCACATGAATGTCGAATAGTAAAAGAAAACCTCTATTTGAGGAATGACGACTGCGGAAAATGCCACTTGAGCAGAGGCGCGTGACGTGTCCGTTGCTAAGCCAGTAAAAATGTGGGCATTGGGTTGTGCTTCAAAAATCGTCCCCGTTTGACTCTAACCTGGCTAATCGAATGTAGCCACTTGGTTTTTGGCGAACAAGTGGTACGTAGTTGTCTTCAGTCAAGTCGAAAGGCACCACACAAGTTGTGCTATCTCGGGCTAGCCTGTGTTGCACATCATACAAAGAAACGCCAATGTGCTACTAACTACGTGAGATCCACTGAGTCACCAGCTCCAGCAATTTCATCAAGTATATGAACTTAAAAGGAAATGAGTTTGGTGGTAACTGATGACTGCACCTGCCGGATGACCTCAAAACAGGGCAAAAACCGATAGCGGGTTGTTGGAGGGTTTTCGCTAACCCTATGGTTAGCTTTGTTTCAGGAAGTAGCGGTCAAGTTTGAAATGTGAATCAGGCAGTCAATGTTGGAAACAGCAACACTGAAAATAATTGAAGGTCCAGCTAAACAAGTGATGCGACATACCTGTGTGAAATCGACCGCAATGTACTTCACTGAAACACCATAGGTCGTCCGAAGCTCAGCAGCCAGTGCTTCCAGCTTGTCAGCACTTCGACTTATCAGCATGACATCCAAACCATCTGAGGCTAATTCTTGAGCGAAGGCCTTCCCAATGCCGTCTGAAGCACCCGTGATAATAGCCCATTGCCCGGCTTTACGCAGCTGCTTTCTTTTGCCAAACAATTTCGGTCCAATCGTATACTCGAGGATGATAACGATCACCGGGATAACCACGTAAAACAAAAGCCCGAGGAGGGCAAACGAAAAGACGTAGACAAACATCTGCAAATGAAGAAC